TATGTCTTTTGGCAAGGGCTGCGCGCACACCCGCATCATTTCCCAACTTCAGACTGTCGACCAGCATACGATCCTTGGTTTCTGGCTACCTAACCCTTTATTTTTCTTGCCACCACCATAATGCCCGAAATAAGGCTTTTGGGGTACTCAATTTTATCGAGCGATTCTTTCTTCATTTGATAAAGAAGACTTTCAACTCCCATATGGTACATACGTAAGACTGCTATTAGATACGGAGACCATATTGCATGCTCTGGGCTTCTGGGTGATCGTAGCTCCCTCAAACAATTTTAGCGAGCAGCCAAAAGCTAGTATCAGGTCTCTTCTATGTCACATATCTCACCCATCCCACTAGGCTAAACCTTTATCCCCTAACCACCCGCCCCATCAGAGTGAACCTTTCCTTCTTTACCACTTATTTTCCACGGACATGACCAACCGGTTTTTTCACCCTCAACAGCTTAAACCCGCCTCGTGATCACAGCAAAAGGTTTTTTAAGCCTTGACCCCGCACCTGAGTCCATCACTGGTTCTTTTCCCAGGGATTTATTCCTTTATGGAACAGCCTCCTGCAGGAGATTGTTGACGCGCCTTCAAAGAACATGTTCAAACACAAGCTAGATATTTCCCTTGGTCCTAAACACGCTGCCACAAACTGTAACATGAAAAGGACTGAAAATTCCTCTCAATTACCTTGCGTTTCCTCATCTTTTCTCGCTATTCTGTCGTGCATTCTTTTTGACAATTGTTCTAATTTTGGTGAATTTGGTATTTTGAACCTTATATTTCACCTTTTTTACGGTGAAGCATATTTGTTGGACATGCGCTTTAAGTGTCTTGTGTTTATATGTAAATGAAAATCAGTATTATTTCTTGTTTTATTACAACCTCAGTTTTGATTGGACGGTCTTTGTTAAACTAACCTTTGCTTTCAGTTATATGGAACTCTTTCTGGCTGTAACGCTCAATATTATTTCTCTTCATTTGTTGAGGCGTGCAGAATTTTCCTTATAGTCTAGAATTATATTACAGGTGATTCGAATCACTCACTTTTCTATTTATTTTCTATTACCACAGTTATTTTCCATGATTATTTGTAACGTTTTGTCTGGACAGTGAGTCAGGCTCACTATCCAAGGTTTGACTGCCTTATGTATTATTTCTATTATTATCAAAATATACCGTAAATTATTTTTGGATCGACTTGTTTCTTGATAATTTGGGCCACGTGTTGCTCTGAGGTTTGATTAACACTCTCCAGAACAAGCGAAGAGTTATTTAAGTGAACTGATACAGACGATGTCTTTTCGTTTCGCCAAAACCAGGACAATCGATTTTTGAACGTTACACCAAATTCCATTAGTTGCTCCCTCTCGATCCGTTTATCTACTTCTCCATTCACCTCAATCTCACTTTAAGTGCTTTTATCCCAACAGCATTAAGTTATAATTTTGTTGTTGTTGTTTACATTTATTCGTAAAGAAACAAAGCAAAATAAAAAACAAAACTGTGACAGGGGTCAATGTCAATTATAGCATCGATCTATTCTCCATCCCACTCGCCGGTGCTTGTCTTTCAGACGAAGACCAGTGTTTACGTCACCCACATACACATGTTCACACGCGGACGCTCGCCCGCTCGCACAGGCACACAGACAACACGACCGTGATTGATTGACCTGTTAGTCATTGTCTTATTGTAGATTGTCATGTGACGCATGATTCATTCAGTGAAACTGCGTGCTCTGGAATATACGTGTTTTGTGCCTTGTCCTCCAGGCTAACTACGGGTTAGCTTGATTGTGACTGTAACACTGACGACGGGGATAAACTGTTGTACTATCTTAATCATGTTCTCTACACAAACTGTCGATCCTTTGTGGCCCAATACGGCAAACAAACCATCAGTGACTGTTTGGTGCAGATGGAAACTTACATTTTGTGACTATATTGAATTACATTTGGCCCTGAACCCCAGCGTGCGTCTATCAGAGGATCAGCAAATCAAGTTACTTCGACAACATCTCGGTTTCGAAGGCCAGAGGCACTTCAATGCCCTACGCATATATGCGAAAAATTCTCAGGATGACGCATTGAAAGCTCTCTATGGACTTTGGGTCCTTCGAGTGCATTTGCATACCGCCCGATGTACATTACAAATTCCACCAACAAGCGGAGGAAACGGTTGATTATTTTGTTCTACGTATCGAGCAAGCCCTTTTAGGTTGCCGTTATCACGAGGTAACGTATTCCGTCCAACTCTTAATAGAAGAACAGCTCGTAAAGATTCAGATAGACACCGGTGCATCAGTAACATTTATCAACGATCACGATCTCCCCGAACTACCCCTTCAAATGCTAACTCCGCAACGTTACAAACTTATATAGGTCAACAAATCCCCGTCGCAGGAACCTGTCACGTTAGTGTACATCATGACTCAAAGGATGTGTCCCTACTAACTTTTATCATTCACAACAAACGGCCAAGTCTCCTTGGCCGAGGCTGTTTGAAGCAACTACCCAAACTAATACAGCATACACATAACATTAAAACTGCGGAATTGCTGGAACAACTACTGACCCAGTTTGCGCCTGTTTTCGAAGAAAATGTATTGGAAAAACTATCCAACTTTTAAATTACACTTAATGTGCGACCAGAGGCATAAAGTCGATTTTTCAAGGCACGCAGTTTGCCGTTCTCTATCAGACCGTGAGTGAAGGAGGAGCTTGATTACGACTGTAACAAAACCAAATACAAAAACAAAAAACACAGCTTTAAATAAACAAAACACCTTGTTGAAAACTATGCTTCATAAATTTCCAGCGTATCTCCAAGTGTGCATGATGTCACATTTTACTTGCGTGCATGTAGAGATATATTTACTGCTCATATGTGCATCATGTGTGCAGTGCAATCAGATACTGCACTTCTCCCCTCCCCTCATTCTTTTTAGGTTCTTCCTTGCACTTACCTGGATCTCCATCTCAGCTGCCCTCGCTAGCAGGCCTTGCTCTCAATATCTCTTCAGCGGGCATTACCCATCAATCGAAGAAAGGAAATTCTCCAAGATCCAGGACCATTGAGCGTAGCCCCGAACCGATAAAATACTTCAAGACTTCAACTGCAACTGAGGAACTACGTTTTAGCTGCCAGTGCAAACAAGAAAGTCACGATGAGCCGTGAGGAATCAGTTACATGGGCAACAACAGTAGCGGAATCAACAGTAACTACAAAGTCTCCCGCTGTCCGATTGAAACGGGGATTAAGTACTCCAAAGACAAACGAGGATGTAACTATGAGGGTGGAGGCTTTTTAACTGATGAGAAAAGTCATATCCAGGGGAAAAGTGGAATGGCTTGGGAAGTAGAAGAATCCACTACCACAGCCATCACTCCTATTCCAAAACACGGGGTAACGCTTGCGGCATCACGCTCGAGGATCCTCCTGAAATGAGTTCCGATCTAGCCGGCTTGCTCAAGCATACTCAGTCACACTGTAGTAATCCAATACTTGCATCATACGGGATACGTAGGGAGAGGTTAGAAGGTGCACCCAAGGTTTTGACATCGTAGTCACTGTTGATTCTGGAGGACCCGTCTCGAACGAGTTACGCGTGCGTCAGTATTGATACGTTTGTCAAATTCTACCGAACGATCAATCCGGATAACAATACGTTTCACGTAGTCAAATATTGCCCGAACTAATCACAGTGAGAGAAGACGATCGTCAAAATAGGGTTTGATTGATTATTGACACGGTGCTGTTAATTAACAATAAGATTGAAGTTGCATATTCACAACGAACCTCGATAATGAAACCTATGGGGTCACAATGTCCGAGAATCACGATAAATACAA